ATTGCTTGAACCCAGTAGGTGGAGGTTGCAGTGAGTCAAGATCACACCATTGCACTCCAGCCTGGGCAACAAGAGCCAAATTCCATCTCCTCCAAAAAAAAAAAAAAAAAAAAGGAAAAGGAATGAACTCTGTACTATTCAAAATGTCTTCAATAAGCATGTATTACTTTTATAAGCCAAGGTGGATCAAGAGAGCATTTAAACTGGGACAGAGGGGGCATAGGCCCCAGAGGGACATTCAAGAAAAGGAAGGACAGGCAGCCCTGCATGGCTATAGAAGCTAACCCAGGACCTGAGTGGGCCAGCCGCCGCCACGGTGGCCAGCAGGCGCACCAGCTCCATGCAGACCCCTGCACTGGCATTCACCTTCATAGGGTCTGGCATAAAGGACACAGTGGGGCAGGGGGCACACTGCCTGACTTGCAACAGTGACATGACCAGGTGTTTGCTGGCCTCTGGTCCTCGGGCTCTGCTGGAACCTTGTGTGCAGTGATTGATTAACAGCATTCACACAAGCACAAACCTGCTGCTGTGGCTGGCGGTCGTGTTCCTGATCACCACATAGAGCCAGGCTGCACAGCCAGCAGAGGCCAGCGTGGTGCTGGCTCATGCATCACGCTGTTCCCTGCGGTGGAGGCAGTCTAGCTTCATGAAGAATGGGAACGCATCATGTGATTCGCCAAATAGAGGGGTCCCTGCTCTGTCAATGCGCATTTCCTTAATTCCCATATTTTAGTAGATGAGTGTCACCAGACTGGCATTTCTCTGAATTTCATGCTTGCTTTACATTCTTATATGCTCTGATTTCTCTTTGATTTCAGAACTCAGAGTGCTAACAATGTTTTACATTATTTCTGTTGAGTTCTTTCCCATAATTTTGCACGGTGGCGTTTGTGTCTTGCACACACTCACGCGTCTGTTCTTCTCTCTCGTTTCTCACCTTCCCTCATGCGCTCCACTCCTCATAGTTGTTGTTCCAGAGAGCAGGCGTGTATGACGCAGTTGTAAGTACAGACGCCCAGGTCGTGTGTCGTTTCCTTCACCATGTCGTTTTCCTGAGATCCTTTCCTTCCCTTATTTTCAGTACAATTGTCTGTGCTTCAGTCCTTTCAGCTTAGCTTGTATGTTCACTTGGCTGAGGTCTATTGGAAGCTTGAGACGCTCAGCGTCAGCTCTCTATCTGAGCAGGACGCCCCTCACCTAGCAAAGCTCACCAGGAGCCCACCAGTTGTGGTCACAGCTGGGATGTGTGACACAGCAGCTCTTTCCTCTGCTGTGTGGGACGTAGGAGGTACTTAGTTTACATACATTTGCAATAGAGGGAGTTTTCATAACTCAGCCTTTCAAGTCTAGTGAGGAGTAGCCATGACGTCTTTTGTCTGTAAACACTGCCCTTGTTCAGATTTTCTCTGTGTTCAAATGGCTCTGCCTAGTTTCTCCAAGGTTTCAGGGTAGATCTGAGTCCGGCAGCTCTTAGGACCCTGCCTCTACACCATGTGACCAGTCAGCTGTGATGTGGGATAGACAGCCCCTGCCTCACAGGGCTGTGAGCAGGACATGGTGAATGCTGAGAATTCCCATTTACATGGAGAACTGGGTTCCCATTAATCCACACCAAGCTGACATTGTTATCAGAGGTCAGGCTGCTTGCTTGCAGTTAAACCATAGCAGGCAGGAATTCCCTGTTTTTGTGTGTGTGTGTTTTCTGACAGTTCCCACTCAGTGCAGAAGTAGTCCGAACTCTGCAGCGCTCAGCACCCTGCTGGTGGGCCCCGTTATGTCCATCCTGAGGCCCTCCAGTGCCTCTCTACGGTGCCTCGGGGCCTTTGCTTATGCTCTGCACTGTGCCAGGAAGGGCCTCCCCGTCACAACTGGGGCTGACAAATCCCCCAGTTTTCTTTGAGACCAAGGCCAAGTACTGTCGTGCCCATAAGGCCTACTCACTGGGGCCACAGGTCAGCTTCTGTGGGAGCAGAGCTGGGGAGGCAGATGGCTGGAGTCACCCTTCAGGAAGTCACAGAATAGCAGATACAGGACCAGGGAAGCCTGACCCTGTAGGGCTGTGTCATGATCCCTTTCACGCAGGGAGTGCATGTGCTGTTGGATAAATGGGATCTGCAGAGAGATAGACCCAGCTGAGGGCAGGGCTAGAGCCCAGAGAGTGTGGAGAGCCGCTCCCTGCTGGAGGAAGGGACCCATGATGAAAGAGGATGCCAGTAGTGGGAGGGGCCTGTGGAGGGGCCGCCATCCCTCGGAAGCTCCGACTTCCAGGAGCTGGGGAGAAGGCGGTGCTGGAGCAAGGCTGTGGCCCGGCACGCCAAAGCAGCGTGCTCCCGTGCTGGGCCTGCAGCCACACCTCCCCTGCTTCACGTGGGGCCGTACTGTCCAGGCTGAGAAACACCCACAGAGGGCACACAGCCAGTCCAGCTTCTTGTGTTGGAAAATTCTACCTGAAATCATGCCGCTGTTACTGTATTTTAAGAGAGCTTAAAAAACAAATCCCTGCACAGACAGCCTTTGCTTACCCATTATCTGAAACGAGAGCCAAAAGCTATGACCATTTCCAGTGACCCTAAAGGTTTTCAGTGCATCTGGCAGGGACTTGCCTATTGCTAAATATCTGTGTCTGTCTGCAGAGGGATTTCCCGCCCGTAATGGAGATAAATCTAGAGGAAGAGACCTGGGTGAGGGCTTCAGCTGTACATGTGAATTAATGAACACATGGGTCATTTGTCATTTAGCCTGAAGAAGTGGACATAGAAGACAAGGTGGAGTCTGGGTACCACCACATTCCTCAGATGGTCGCCAGGAGACCCCTGCGAGACTTCGTGGGGCTGGAGGACTGTGACAAGGCCACACGGGACGCCATGCTCCACTTCAGCTTCTTTGTCACCATTGGAGACATGGACGAAGCCTTCAAATCCATCAAACTCATCAGAAGGTGAGGATGCCACCCGCTGATATGTCGGGAGATGGTGCGCGCTCACAGGCTCTTTCCTTTCTCTGTGTCTTCCTTCTCGGTCTGCTTGTTGAAATAGTTAACTCCTTGTGACTGTGTCATGGTGTATTTCATGGTCTTCCCACTCAGTGAAATGCTTCCAAGCTTTGTGGGTGCCAGGACCTGCCTGGTGCATGGTGCCGCGTGGGAAACTCTCGGCCTTGGTGGTGCTGGGCACCTCTCAGGCTGTTTAGTTATTGTGATTAATTTCAAAGAGTTCTGTATGCGTCTTCATGGAAAGTTCCACCATTGCTAAACATCCATAATACCCATCCCTCTGGGAGTAATTGCCCCTAAACCGAAGAAGTTTGGACAAGTAAACACTAAAAACAGCAAGGTGAAAACACAATTTAAATTGCTCTAAAAGAGGTTGTCAGTCAAGGGCTGTCTACAAGCACCTGCTTCTCCATTCCTGAGAGAATCTAGAGATTCTTCACAAGAGCATTTTATAGATTTTCATTTCCAAAGGGTCGAAAACTTATTGAAGAATGAAACTAAAGAGGGAAAAAGAAGGTGTGGCCTTAGGTGGCCTGGAGCAAGCCCTCCCTCTCCATGCAGTGATGACGCCTGTCATAGAGGTGTCCGAGAGGGTGCAGGATGCCGGCACACTGTCCTTCTAAAGCGGCATGGCCAATTCTTCATTTCCTGGGCCGGGCCTTCCACACTAGCTGTGCTGCTGAGCTCTTATCTGTGTGTACATGCACCAGAGAGGCTAAGCGGCACTGCCCCATTCTCCTTGATTGCTTTGTCTTAATAGGTAGTCATAGACCATGATTGACCCTATGGCCAGTTTAAACCTTCAGTGTGGGCGGGGGCGGGGGCTCACGCCTGCAATCCCAGCACTTTGGGAGGCTGAGGTGGACAGATCTGAGGTTAGGAGTATAAGACCAGCCTGACCAACATGGAGAAACCCTGTCTCTACTGAAAATAGAAAAAATTAGCCATGCTTGGTGGCACACGCCTGTAATCCCAGCTGCTCAGGAGGCTGAGGCCAGAGAATCGCTTGAACCCGGGAGGCAGAGGTTGCAGTGAGCCAAGATTGTGCCACCATACTCCAGCCTGGGCGACAGAGCGAGACTCCTTCTAAAACAAAAACAAAAACAATTATTTTCAGCATATGATTAGAAATAAAAATTCCTTGTCAGAGAAAAGTCAAGCGGGGGAAGGTAAAAGCCTATCTGTGCCAGTGTGTACTGTGGACATGAATCTGCTGTTTCTATGCTGTGTGCCAAGTGTGTCGTAGACGGTCAGTTCATAAATGCTTTTTAGTCTTTATCAATTGAAGAAAAATTCCTGGTGCAATATGGTCCTCAAAATCCGAACTGATCCCCTCAGCTTGCTGGAAGGCCAGAAGCAGCAAAGCTAAACGTTTCTATTAGCAGGGGTTGGCCTGGTGGCCCGGCCCTGGCTGTGCACATCCCGTCAGTTTCTCCTTCCAGCTGATGCCAGCAGTGAGCTCTGCCTTCAGATGGCCATGGGGCCAAGCAGTGCCGCACCCAGGCAGAGGAGGCACAAGGCAGGCGCTAGGACTGTGGTTGCAGCCCTGGTTGTGGTGTGGCCAGGCAGCTCTGGGTTCTGGGTTCTGGGGGGTGTAGGCCAGTTTTGACCCCTCAGATGCAGATGTTAGTTGTTTTCTGCCCAACCCAGAGTTACGGCTTGTTCCCCTCTTAACAGATTTAGGACACAGGGTTGTTTGATCTCCATGCAGCATCGTGCAGGCATTTCATAGCCCACCAAGCATTTGGCTAAAGATAGGCTGAGGGTTTTAAAGCAAATAGACTTCTTCCCTTTTATTCTATGAGTTGTTGATCAGAGAGTCTGTAAGGACTTGGGCTTCTGAGACTCGGTTGAACAGACGGTGTGGATCAGCATGTGTGTGCCTACAGGGTCTTTGAAAAGCTCATTTCAACTCTTCTCTTAATGTGAGCCCCAAACAAAATCACAGAAAAATTGAAGTGTTTTTCACCCATGTTGTAGTATAGATGGATAGAACACAGTTATAGACAGAATTAAGAGGCTTGCATTTATTTAACTTAGGAAAAGGATTGAGCATAACAGGAGGATGATTCTGTCTGAAACCATCACTATCCAGCTATAGGTTATGACTCACTCAAGGAATACTGTGGCTATTTCAAGAAAACCTTCCTGCTTGTTCTGCTTTACCGAAGTATAAGACATGGCTGGGGCACCCCTCTCAGCAGATGCAGAATAAATTAATCCCAAAGCAAAGCGGAGGGCAGGGCAGCCTCACGCCACCTTCCCTGTGTCTTAGCTTCCAGCCTCCACCCTGAAACGCAGGTGGCTGCAGAGCCGCTTGGTGCTAACCAGGGAAGCTGGAGGCAGAACGAGGGTGGCCCGTGGCACATATAGACATATGATCGACATAACGGTAAACGCACAGCCGTCTTGCACGCATGGCACAGAGGTCACCCAGACTCATCCCGTGCCTCTGCACAAGCAGGGGAAGTGACTTGGTGCTGGAGTCCGTTGGTTTCTAGGCTGTTCCATGATAGCAGATGCACGTCCATGATGTCCTGACAAGGGCGAGTCAGCATGGCGACTCCACGTAGTCATTGTCCAGCCCACGGCGAAAGCGCGCCGTCAGGGAGCGGCTGATGACAATCACCCGGGGTGCCATGCAGTCCTCCCTCTTGTGGAGAATGTTCCAGATGAGCATGGCCGCCGCCAGCGTAGCCAGAAGGCAGGCACCGATGTTCATGTAGCAGGACCAGGACAGGTTGGTGTATGGGCCAATTCTGTAGAAAGTCACCAGCCCGATGACCAGGACAAAACCTGCAGATGAGAGAGAAGGTTGAGAGGTCTTATCTGAGAGGAAGCTGGATTCCCTTCCTTCCCCAACCCTCTGTCCTGGAGCGGGGGAAAGTCAACAGGCTGCTTTACAGGGTGGCCACCCGGTGTTGAGCCACCTTGTATTGGCCCTTCTGTGGGCTCTTAGGACTTTGGGCTCTGGCGGCTGTGGAGGGATGTTGTGTGTCTGCTTAATTCTGTCCTAGCGTGCTGCTCCTGTGACCTGGCCAGGCGTCAGGCCTTTCCTTTGGGTCAGCACTGACGCTTGCAACACCAACTTGAGGGGGGCCTTTCCTAGCCCCCCTAACTCAGCAGTAATTTTGTGTTAAATCCATCTCTGACTTTTGTAAAGACTTAATTCATTCAAAGTGAAAGTAAACAGACATTTTCTAAGTCTCATCTGGAAACAGGTCGTTTTGGTGCTAACCGCACCCACAGCTGTGCCCCTGAGAGTCTTCTCGTTCTTCGCCTTTACTTTGGGAACTTGAGACGGCCTGGAATCCGCAGCTCGGGCAGGGCGGAGATGGCGCCGGGACCTTGTCTGGCGATCCTTGGCCATAGCTGGTGTCTTCCCCGCCTTCTGAGTCAGTACTTCTCGTTGTAGACCCTCCCTCTTGCCCAGCTTATTTTCCTTCCATGCCTTCCCGTCTCTGTCCAGAGCCTGGAACCAGAGAAGGAGCGATGGGCCGTGAGCTCACCTGAGTTGGAGCAGCTTGCTCCCATCTAGTTAGTAACTGATACCGCAGTTTCACTTGTATGGTTTTATCTTTAAGGAGCTCCAAAGACTTTTTTAGTTCTTACAACAGGAGAATCAGGGTTTCATGCCTAGAATCTGTGAACGAGGATAACCAGATACTGTGGCTGGGTGGAGAAGGCAGCACCGATGGAGTTGGGGGTCCCAATCTGGCTGGAAACATAGGCTCTGGGACAGAGGAGAGGCCGCCACTATCCTGCTGCCCAGGAGGCTGTCCACATGGCGCTGCCCCTCCTCATCCCCTGCAGCCGTGGGGACGTGGCCACAGATTGTCCAGAAGGCCATGGGGGCCTCCAGGTGGCCTCCACCCCAGCCCTGCCTCTGCCCACCCAGCACCCCTCCCTCTCTGTTACAGTAACCTGAGTGAGTCTGTTTCTTGTACCCAAAGTGCCAGAGACTCTTTGTAATTCATACTGGTCCAGATTAAACTCTCCAACCCCTCTTATCTGTGGGGTACTTGTCCATGTCCCTCCCCAGGCTCTGGCCACACTGAGCCCCACAGCTGTCCCTCCACCTGGCCTGCGTGTTGACACCCGTGCATCTGTTCTTGCTGGTCTCTCTACCCGCAACCGCTTCCTCTGAATTCCCCAGGAAACGAAATCATGCACTGCCTTGTGTGGCCCCAGAGCAAGGACTAGCATCGAAAGAGAACGAGAGAGAAACAGACACAGAGTCAGAGACAGAGAGAAACAGAGACAGAGACACAGAGAGACACAAAGACAGAGACAGGCAGACACAGAGACAGACAGAGACACAGGGAAGGAGAGACAGAGAGCAAGAGATGGGTAACAAACCTTGTTTCTCCTAAAAACCCAAGCATTCTCATCTTGCCGTCACTGTGCCCTCCAGAAAGTATGAGGAAGCATTTATGTATCTCCACTTTGTCCTGAACAATGACAGTGACTGGTTTCTGTGTTCATTCTTTATAAGACTTTGGGGAGTTTTTATACATGGGTAGCTCCTGGATACTTCTGTTTTATTAAAAATAGCATTCTAGGCTGGGCGCGGTGGCTCACACCTCTAATCCCAACACTTTGGGAGGCCGAGGAGGGCAGATCACCTGAGGGCAGGAGTTCAAGACCAGCCTGACCAAGATGGCGAAAACCCGTCTCTACTAAAAATTTTTTAAAAATTGGCCAGGCGTGGTGGTGGGCGCCTGTAATCAGAACTATTTGGGAGGCTGAGGCAGAGAACTGATTGAACCCAGGAGACAGAGGTTGCAGTGAGCCGAAATCGTGCCACTATACTCCAACCTGGGCGAAAGAGCGAGACTCCATCTCAAAAAAAAAAGCATTCTATTTGTAATGCATACTGACAAAGGAAACTTCTGGCATTTCTACTAGTGCTGAATGTGCCCTCTGCTCGTGATTGGGTGGTATGGACACTTGCATTACTGGGATGGGGGAATGAGCCTATGTTGTGTGTGATGAAAATGACAGCACTTTGAATAATGTCTTCTCGTGTTCACGGTGTCTGGCACTTTCTGCTGGTGGGGAGTGGGTTGTGCAGTGTCAGGGCTCAGAGGAGGCAGCCCTGGAGGCAGGGCAGGCACAGCAGAGAGCTCAGGACACCTAGGACAGAGGCAAATGGGCGGGGTGGGGCGCTCTTGGCAGGGGCAGTGGGAGCCTCTGGGAGAGTCCCGGCCCAGCAGGGGGACGACGCAAGCACCTAGACCCTCGAGGGAGAGAGGAGGTTATGCCGGCAGCAGCTGGCCTTCATCAGGCTCCAGCCCGCTATGGCCACAGCCTGTTTCTCCCCATTACCAGGATTCCATTCAACTTTTGGGTGTTACAGAAACATGTTTAAAATCTATGTGGCCTCCACTTCCACAACAGCATTCATCCAAATGAAACAGTGGAAAGGGACTGGGCCCCTGGCTTCCAGGATCAGCCTCCCTCACAGTCTCTTGCTGCTGTGGGGTCACTTTCCATCACTGATGCCTACAGAGGGGACCTGGAGGTACTGTCACTGAAGAAGTGTTCACTGGAGGCGTGTGAGTGATGAGAACGCAGTCCAGAGGGCTCATCCTAGGGCTTTTGGAATGGACCAAGATGCACTTGCTCCCTGGACTGAGAACAATGAGAAAGGGGCTGGGCCTGGTGGCTCACGCCCGTAATCCAAGCACTTTGGAGGCCAAGGCGGGCGGATCACCTGAGGTCGGGAGTTCAAGACCAGCCTGACCAACATGGTGAAACCCCGTCTTAAAAAAATAAAAAAAGAAAAAGAAAAACGAGAAAGCGAGAGAGCACTGACTGGCACAGCAGAGGGGCTGCCCTTGCCCAGGACCACGCTGGCGCCAGCTGCTCTGGAAACTGCTGATGCCCTGGGACCTGCAGCACCACTCCCAGGATGGCAAGTGGACGAAACTCGGCATGGCCGAGGCCCCGGGTCAGCCACCCCCAGAGCGCGCACCCAAGGGGGAGATGCGCTCTGGAGAGCGCAGCAGTGGACAGCTGTCCAGCGGACAGGAGGGGCTGGCAGGGGGACGGCCTGACCACATGTCACCAGAGAGAGGCCCGGGGACGTCACGAGGGACACACTCAGGAGACTTTTGAGTGCACAGCCCAGCCCCAAAACAGCTTTCTAGGAAAACCTCAGGAAGAAAACGCTAAGGAAACATGGGGCAGCCACCCCCGGAGGAGGCCCCGCAGAGCAGACCTTGCTGGGTGTGCCAGACCACACGCGTGTATGTGGCCTCCTTTGTGTCCGCAGCTCCCAACAAAACAGTAGAAGATTGAAGTGCCGCTGATTTTAGGCTCCTCCATGAACAAGCACATCCTGAAGTTGGGTTTGACAGTGAGGGACGTGCTGAACGTTTCAAGGTGTCTGCAGCTGTGCTGGGTGAGCTTGCTGAGGACATTAATGCAAGTGGGCCTCCCTCCACCACTGCACCCCGATCTTTATGAAACTCGCAGCCCATCTCCCCATGTTTGGCGCCCTTGGGGTTCCTGTCGCCTTAGGATCTCCCCCATCACTTGTGGCTGCCCCTTTCTGCCACCCCGTGGCCACGTTGGCCCTTTCCACCCCTCTGAGATGCTGGGTCCACCTACTCTGGGCTTTTCCTCGAGCCACTGTCCCCGGCTTGACTGGCCCTGGGGAGGAGGTGCCCCTCCTGCTTCTGATCCTTCAGGCCTCGGCTTAGAGTCGCACCTGCCCCCTCCAGCTTCGGTCATTGTGTCTTTACCCATTGGTGGCCCTGTCCACTTTCCCCCTCCATAGGGCAGGCTCCCTGGGGCCTGAGGTGGCCCCACCATTGACCACAGCCTCCCAGAAGTCTCTCCGCAATTACTTGTTGAATGAATCATTAGAAAAAAATCAAAGTAGACATGAAACAGGACAGAATGCAGTGTGGACCTGAGGGAAGGGAGGAGGGACAGCAGCCTTGGCATTTTAGTGACCAACACCCTTCAGAAGGACAGGACCCTTTGGCCATATGGTGTAGATTCCACTACACTGGTGCCTTTGAATGCTCGTGGAGGGGCACCGTGATTCCCAAGGACCCACTGGCATTGCCTACATGGCCCTGACTCGGCAGACCTGTTCTGCCTCCACTTGCATGCCAGGGACCACACTAGGGTTAGCGTCACCACACAGAGATGGCTAGGGCATTCTTCACTTGTTCTTGGGGAACTGGCATTCCTCTTGGAGAGACAGGGATGTCATTCATCTCTGTGTCCCCAGAGCGTGGCATTTGGCAGGGCCTTGCCCCATCTGGAGGGTCAAGTGTGTGGGGAAGGCTCTCCAGACTCTAAATTAAAGGCAGGAAGACTAAACCATTGAGCAGATCACAGAGTGGGTTGGCAGAACTCAGCCAGCGTCCTGCCCCCGGCAGCCTGCAGGGCCCTCTAACAGTGCGGAACCTCCCAGCCCTGAGATGCTGGGAGGTCCCTCTGCCTGCCTAGCATTGGCCAGCATCACTGGCTGCTTCCTGAACTATTATTGTTACTTCCTTTTTTTTTTTTTTTTTTTTTTTTGACCGAGTCTTGCTCTGTTGCCAGGCTGGAGTGCAGTGGCGCGATCTCAGCTCGCTGCAACTCTGCCTCCTGGGTTCAAGCGATTCTTCTGTCTTAGCCTCCTGAGTAGCTGGGACTATAGGCATGTGCCACCACACCCAGCTAATTTTTATATTTTTAGTAGAGACAGGGTTTCACCATGTTGGCCAGGATGGTCTCGATCTTCTGACCTGGTGATCCACCCACCAGGGCCTCCCAAAGTGCTGGGATTACAGGTG